ATTTCTGTGGATACCAGCACGCCTTCCTGGCGGCTGTGTCGAAAGTGGACAAACTGATTGACTTTGGGAACTTCAGTGCCCGCGTCGGTACAGGCCACACTACTTGGGAGGCAGTGCTAGGTCGCCATGGAGCCGGCGGTTGCGACAGCAAGGCCTTCACTCCCTGAAGGCATGCGTAGGACGCAGTCTTCTGACCAACACCGCCCGTCTTCCGATGCAGGAGGAGGCGACGTGGATGCACTCCTGCTCGCGTCATTGGGATCCAATGCACTACGTCCTCGTTCGTGGGCGTGATCAGCGCGACGTACTCGCGACTAAGGCGATGTGTGGTGCCGACTGCTGGGCGGATCACCACCCTGTCATCTCCATGATGAGGCAGCAACTGCAACGGCGCAAGTTACATTCTGTATTGCTTGGTACAGCTGAGCGCCGACTGAATTTTCTTAACTGCATTAACTTCAAGATTGGAAAATGCAAACGCTGGAGGCGCATACCAAGACCGTAGCAACGTAACTCCTTGGTCACGCACGTCGAGATTACCAGGACCGGTTTGGTAACAATGACGAAGAAAGCCGCACTGGGGGAAGAATAGGTTGTACTCGGCTTACACCATCGACAACTGCAACGTCAACAAGGCCGTATACTTCTGACGCCGAAGTAGAGCAGAACCGGGGAGAGCACAGGAGATCCATGAATATGCCGCCAGCGGCCAAATAAAAATTTCATTGTAGCCATAAAAGCAGTCTACGATCCAAAGGCCAAGGGAGCGGCTCCACCGCTTAGGCAGGATGCAGAAATCCTCTGACAGAGAAGTCGCGGATCCTGGAGTGACAGATCGTGCACTTCCAGGACGTCCGCAACCAGTCGTCCAAGGTCTGCTAGGAAAGCATTGGTCGACTTCTTCAAGCGGATATCAACTACGACCGCCATCATCAGCCTTCTATCCCAGAGACAATCAGAGCATAGTAACAACCGTCCAGTGGACAATGTCTGGAAGTAGACGCAATTTCAGTTGGAATTTACAGGTGCGGCGGTCCACAATTCATGAAAAATCTCACCTCGCTGTTCCAAGAGATGTGGCGGCAAGGACACATCAATCAAGAATTCCAGGTTGCCACCATCGTGAGCGTCTATAAACGCAAAAGAGAGATTGGGGATTCTGCGACAGTCACTAATGCATCTTTCTCCCTAAAACTGCAGTCGAAGGGTTTGTCTGTGTCCAGAAACGCAGTGCAAATTCTACGAACACCGCGGAACTACAGACATAATTGTTGGAGCCCGCCAACTAGAAAATCATGCTGAAATTCTGATGTCAGGAGCAATTAAGATAAAGAGTAATACAACTTGAAGAAGGAGACACGATCGCTGGGGCAAGAGCTTTATTAGCCTGACGTTTCGGATTCCTGCTAGAACCCATCATAAGAGGCAAAAGCGGATAAGGGCGCGATGCGCTCCGATCGGCCCGGCGATGGGAAACCTTTGCCCTTCGGGATGCCTCCACGTATTCGCAGATTCAGTAATACAACTCTACGACGGGATGGTGGCGCGCATCACGGGCAATGAGGCGGTCTCTGAGGCATTAACGACGACAAATGGGATGGACGAGGGTTACGCACGCAGTCTCACCTTATTTAGTCTCACTTTTTTCTGCCATGCTGATGGATACCTACCGTGAGGAGCGGGTAGGGATCGACATCAACTACCGAACCAAACTGCTCAACGTTCATCTTATGCAAGCATCTTCGAGTGCTTCCAAGGTCAGTGTTCACGACCTTTTTTTCGCTAACGACTGCACGTTAAACACCCCAGTGGAGAGTAACAGGCCGCGAAGTATGGGCCTCTTTGCCACTGCCTGCTCCAACTTTGCCCTGACAAACAGCGCGCAGACGACAGTGGTCATGCACCTACGGGTGCCAAATGCTGACTACAAAAAACCTCCTACTAATGTTAATGGAACTCACCTCACAGCAGTGCAGAAATTGGCGAACTTTAGGAGTACACTGTCAAGAAACATCAAGATTAACGACGAAGTTGCAAGTCGAATTTCGGAAACCAGCCAAGCCTTCAGCCACTTTCAGCGTTCCCACTGGGACCGTCGCGGCCTCATACTCAACATTAAAATAAGGGTTCATGGGGCTATTGTCCTGGCAGCTCTTTTGTACGGGGCGATGACAATGAATGTTTATTAAGGTCAGGCAAGAAGACTCAACTACTTTTATCCCAGCTGCCGGCAAAAAATAATGGAGGTGAAGTGGCAAGAAAGGATGTCGGCGACAGAGCCCTTGGAAAGAACCGGAGTTCTCAGTATTCATGTCATGCTGACGCAGATACAATTGCGATGGAGTGCCCACATCGTGAGGGTGGATGATGAGTGCCCATCAGAGCGTCTATTTTACGCCGTCGTCGCTACGAATGGTCCCAAACAGGGCGAACAAAAGCGACGTAAAAAGGCACCTTGAAGACCTCTCTCAGGCCCCTGAAGATCAGCAATGAGGCCTGAGAGGATCTCGCTCAAGATCGGCAGGCTTAGTGCACTACTGTACCGACTGAAGCGTCCATCTACGAAGCCACCGGAATAACCAATGCCACGTCAAGTGCCCACGTGCTACACATCTATTATGCTGGCACCCGAATCATGCTATCTTACCCACCACCAACAGACATTAAAGACACGGCTCGACATCGTCGAACGTATTCGAGGCCAGTGTACTGTCAACACGACCCACCAGTCTCTCGCCTCACAACACTCCACCACTAGGAACACCAGTGAAGGCATTCCCA